TATCTCGATCTCTCGCCTGAACAATGGGAGGAGCTGGAGGAAACAGCGCCCGACGTTATCGAAAGGAAAAACTCTTCCTCCCCCTATTGAAAAGGTAGGCGAAAATTTGTGTTGCTGATTTGTGGTTACAAATCACATTTGTCTTGCATGAAGACAAGGGCAGAAGCCTCCGCCTCATTATGGAAGCAATTCGGAGGCATGCTGTTGGACAACTTAGAGGGCAGCCGTTTAAAATGCCGAACAACTAGGCCCAATAAACGCCCCTACCTAGGCTGGGGATCTGGCCGCAATAAGTACCTTCCTGCAGTGCAGAGCGCATTTGTATAATACACAAATCCAACATCTTCAGAAACTTCGTTTTGATATGGGGCGGGAGGATTTTTCCTTCCGATAGACGTCCGGAGCAGGCGTAGTTCTTCCGAAGACAAAGGTCGTGGTCGAGCGGCTGTAGCAGCAGCGAAAAAGAAGCGGCATTTAAGGAAAGTTGCGATAAACTTCGCAGTATCAAATGCAAAAATGCCTGGGTCTGGAAGATTGCGAGATTTGTCATGCTTGTCTGGCATGACCAAAAAGTTTGTGATGCGTGTCCAAGAAGAGACGCCTTTGCCTGTCATGCAAAAACGCAGTTTGTCATGCGAAAAACGCAACACGAAAAAGCGCAGATATTTCTCATGCTTGGCTGTGCATTACAGAGCATTCAGTACTACTCCAAACGCAGCATTACAAGTTTCCAGACCCAGACATATTTGCATTTGATACGCGGTGCACGAGATCGAGCAACACAGGAGAGTGAGCACTCCAAGCGATGTCTCAATCCCTAGGTTCTATCACGGGAAAAAGTGTTAACGTTAACGGAATTTGTGATGCAGCAATGCATCGCATCAAAACGCGTCAGAATTTGTCATGCGTGGCATGCATATTGGGCTACAATTGTGATGCATGACTGCAATCTGCGACAACCGTTAACGTTAACACTTTTTCTTGCGATAGGTTCCTCTGGCGAGACATGAATCAGTTTTTGCTGCGAGATATCACATGCAAATATCGATCTGGGTCTGGAAGATTGCGACATTTGTCATGCTAGTCTGGAATGACACTGCACTCTGTCTTGCATGGCCACCAAGAGCAGGTCCGCTTGCCTGTCATGCAGAAGCGCAGTTTGTCAAGCGAAATACGCAACACAGAAGCACGAAAAAAGTTGTCATGCTTGGCGGCGCATAATTACAGAGCACTTTATTGTTCACGGAGTTCTTGCATCACAAGTTTCCAGACCCGGATCGATATTTGCATTTGATACGAGACTTCCGCAACGGAGCCCAGAGGCGTATGAGTGACTTCGAGAAAACGCACTTTTACCTAAGGGTCGGCCTGGCTCCTTTCTCGATCCAGGATATTTTGCAGCACGTGCTACTACCCAGCTTGCCCGACCCAGACGCGTCCTTCGATGTTGACTACGGGCCGGATGTATCAAATGCAAAAATGTCTGGGTCTGGAAGAATGCAAGATTTGTGATGCAGGTTTGCCATGACCACCCATGAGGTCTGGAATGCGAGACCCAGCATGAAGAGAGATTCTTTGAGGTCTCTATCATGCCTTTCCTGCATGAGAAACTCCCTCTCAACTTGGTCAAAAGCGGACAGCTTTTGGTACTCACGCAGCGCAGATTTTTGCATCATTCAGATTTGGCATGACAAGTTCTAATCTTCCAGACCCAGACATATTTGCAATGCATAGGATGGGTTCGGACTGTCTCCGTCCTCAAGTTCTTCTATGAAAGCCTCAGGTTGGAAATCCTCAAAGTGGAAATACTTTGTCATGCAAAAAAACGACTCCAGTTGAGTGCGCCATTTCCAGTCGGCAAATGACAAATTTCCCGGGCACTCAAAGCGTGTCTGTCATGCTGGTTAGGCAAAGGGGTGCCTTTCTCTCGTGCTAATCAGCAGCCCAATTCTGAACCCGTGGTAGAAGCACAATAGTCGGCCCCCATTGCGTTCTCTGCAATACAGTCTTTTTGGTGTCGCATTTCATGCATCACAAATTATTTCCACTTTGTGAATTTCCCTTCTGAAGCTTTCATATCTTCTTCGGCTTCTTCGGCCCGCGCCCGGCCCCCAATCGCCACGAGAGAGGAGCAGATGCAGCAAATATTACAGTGAAAAACGCCCCCACCCCGGAATTTGCAAAAGTTTCTCATGCAAAGGTTCCAAAGGAAAGGTTTTTGTCTTGCATGAAAGGAGCACGAGCATTTCTCGTGATGCAGAATCTAGGTGCGCAAGGTATTTTTTGCATAAGAGATCCGCGTGCTGTTCGGCTCCTTTGCATCACAAATTTGCGCTATTCAGCGTGGAAAATTTGTGATGCTGATAGATGCAAGACGGGGAATGTTTCCGTTGGAATGGTTTGCAATACAAATGCTGCCAAGTGCTGGGGTGGGAGCATTTTTCGCTATAATAGCAAACGGGGCCGCTGGGAGACGACGCCGCGTTTCAGGAAGTTGATAATTTCGAAGATTTAAGCACGCAGGGCCTCGCGGCGTCTTCGCAGAATAACGAAGCGCAGAAGGAGTGGCGACAGGCCTCCGTGAAACTGGACCGGCACGTAATGTTGTTTCGCTCCATCGCGACGGGGTCTTTGCTGCCCGGCGAGGCAGAGGTCGCGCAGTATCTGAACGCGAAATCGAGTCGAGTCCGCCGAATCCAGTACGATTTTGCGCACGGTATCCTGTGTAAAAACGCCCCCACGACTCCATAGTCAAGATGGGGAATCTGCTAGACAAATCAACAAGCTTTGGCTGTTCCGCACGAGGACAAGTTTATCCGCCTCGTAGTACAAAAATCCTGCTTAGGTTTACTTAGCTAGTTCAACAGCATCACAGAATTCGCGCATCATGCTGGTTGGAGCATCACAAATCCCAAACCACGACGAGGCTTCTATGTATGCTTCACATGGTGCAGCTCCGCATGATAAACATTTTCAGCATTCAGATTTGCATGACAGCTCTGGGGTGGGGACGGTTGTACTTAGTATACACGGCGCAAAGTATTTACGGAACAAATTTTTCGACAAGACAGAACTGCTTTTCGAACAGATTTATGCATTGCAAAAGTATCGTACTCGCAGAAATGCATTACAAATTTTCTGAGCATGAGAAATAAAATTTGTATTGCGGATTTCCCGTAACGCCTAGATTTGTAATGCATCCATGATATACAACTGCAATTAGGACGAGTGCGATACTTTTGCACTGGATAAGATTCAGTACATGCAGTACGACTTCACCGAGATCAACCTGCAGAACGAGGAAGAATACATCATCCTGGGCACGATATCGCAAGAAAAAACAGTTTCACTGTAAACTTGTAATGCAGATGAAAATGTATCTGAGAAGTGTTTGTCTTGCTACACATGCAAGACAGTGGATTTAGCTGTGTTTTCATCCCTTAGGAGTCTCGCATGGCAAATTTTGTCTGTGATGTAGGACAAACTTGTGATGCAAAACTTGCAAAATCCTTACAGTGAAGCACTTTTTTCGTACGATACACGAAGGCTTCCACTCACGGACTAGGGTCTCAGGAGGTCCTGATCGCGGAGGACGAGAAGAAAAATTATACGCATTGCAAAAGTATCGTACTCGCACTGATTGCGTTTATGCATTACAAATCCCTTTATTAAGGGGTACAAGGAGGAACCAGGTACCCTACCGAACCAGGTACCTGGGACCAGGTACCCGGGACCAGGTACCCTGGGACCAGGTACCCGGGACCAGGTACCTGGGACCAGGTACCCTGGGACCAAATACCCAGGGACCAGGTACCCAGAAAGCAATCCCCGTCCTTGGGTTGGCAGTTTGGTGGGTGGGTTCGTTTTTCGCGTGCCAGGGCGCCCGCTTCCGGGCGGCCAGAGCGGCGTACTGAGGTGCGCTGTATCCACGGGCGCGTGCGAAAAAAGTCTGCACATTTGGCCACCGCGTAGCATGAAGAAAGGAGCGGCCTCCCCTGGTTCTAAAAACGGCGGACCGGCGTACCCTGTTCCGTTGGTGCCTACAAGGGCTGGGCGCCCTATGAAAAGAGGCACCGGGGGCCCACGTCCAGGCATTCGCGTCTGGGTGCCGGTTGCCCACATCCAGGCATTCGCGTCTGGGTACCCGGGCCGTTACCCACGTCCGGGTATCCACATCTGCGCACCGGGTGCCCCCCTCCGGGCACCCCGGTCCGGAGATGTGCCCACCTGGTGCCCAGATGTGGATATCGGCTGTTGCTGAACTGTGGGCACCCGGTGCCCAGATGTGAGTGCCAGGATGTGCGCACCTTGCGTCCGGATGTAGGCGCCCACCTTTTCACCTTTAGCTAGCAGAAAGCCCCACGAAAAGTCAAGCGGTTTCACATCTGGATATCTACATCGGGGCACCGGGTGCCCACATCCGGCCACTGCTACCCACATGCGGCCATCTGCATCTGCGTACCGCGTGCCCACATCCGAGCACCCGGGTACGGAGATGTGGGCAGCCGGTGCCCAGGTGTGGACGCGCAGACGTGAACCGCTTGAGTTTTCACTTGACTTTTTTTTTCAAGTAAAAGCTCAAAAGGTGCTCACATCTGGGTATCCACATCTCCGGTCCGGGTGGCCACATCCGGGCACCCGGGTACCCACACCCGGGTACCCGGGTAAGTACCCACATCTGGGTACCCGGGTACCTTGGTCCCAGGGTACCTGGTCCAGGGTACCTGGTCCCAGGGTACCTGGTCCCAGGGTACCTGGTTCCTACCTCTACCTTATTAAGGCAAATCCGCATCACAAATTTGACTTGTAATGCTAAGTGAATTTGTATTGCAATTTCTACGAGTCGTGCGATACTTTCGCAGAGGATAAGCTACATGTGGGGACAACTTAAAGCCATCGTCGGCATGACCGGCAGGCGGTAGGTCTGCCGGCAATGTTTGATTTTTTTATCGATAAATGGCGGGAGCATTCCTGCATGTAGGTGTACTTCTAGGCACGAAGATAGCTGATATCTTTACAGAAACTCAGTCATGTAAAAAATCATTCTTTTTTATCTTGGAACAGCACAAATAAATTCAACGTCTGCGCACTGTCGTAGTTTCACAAGCGAACCTACTCTTGTCCTCAGGGAGTAACTCCCCTGCCGATGGTAGTAAGTCTGGTCCATCCGCCTCAGGAAAGTCTCTTTTATCCGCTTGTCGGAAAGTCTGGTCTCATCCGCTTTGCGGAAAGTTTGGTCCATCCGCCTCAGGAAAGTCTCTTTTATCCGCTTGTCGGAAAGTCTGGTCCATCCGCCTCAGGAAAGTGTTTTTTTATCCGCTTGTCGGAAAGTCTGGTCCATCCGCCTAAGGAAAGTGTCTTTTATCCGCTCGTCGGAAAGTTTGGCTATCCGCTTGGCGGAAAGTTTGGTCTCATCCGCTTGTCGGAAAGTTTGGTCTCATCCGCTTTGCGGAGAGTTTGGTTATCCGCTTATCGGAAAGTCTGGCCTTATCCGCTTTGCGGGAAGTTTGGTTTATCCGCTTGGCGGAAAGTTTGGTCGCATCCGCATGTCGGAAAGTTTTGTCTCATCCGCTGTGCGGAAAGTTGTGGCTATCCGCTTGGCGGAAAGTTTGATCTCATCCGCTCGGCGGAAAGTTTAGCCCAATCCGCTTTGCGGACAGTTTTGGGCATCTCTGGTTTATCCGTTGTACGGACGTTGTTGGCAGCCGTGACTGTATTCTCGTTGACGTTGGCGATAGGAGCGAGAATACGAATTCATGCGGTCTCGCCTTGCGTTGGGAAGGAGGGTCGTTTGGCACTGGCGGTTCGAACCCGTTACCCTTGCGAACTTTTTCCCAAGCCAAGGCCCTTGGCTTTCTTTGGTCTTCTTATCCTTTGATCCTCTGATCCCATTGCAACGCGAGGCCGCAAGGCTATCGGTTTTTGTCCGCTCGAAGCTTTCCACTTCGGGCACTTGCCACTGGTCGGCCCGTCGTCATCGCTACGCCTTCGTCTATGGGGCGCACCGGTTTCCCAAATTCATCGTCTGGCCGCAGGCGTCGCGCCGGGTTCTTTGGGCTGCTTCGGCGTACCGGCCTCCACCGGTGGGGTAGGTGCTTCCAGGGCGCCTCCTCGTGCGACGCAGTGGGAGATGCTCCCATCGAGCGATCATCCATAGGGTGATCCTTCCGCGGTGACTGAATAAAATTCAACGTCTGCGCACTGTCGTAGTTTCACAAGCGAACCTAAACACTTTGATTTGACAGTTTCTGTTTCACCCTATACTTCCTTGTCGCGAAAAATATTTATCGCCAGCCATTCTTGAAGATTCTTGGATGTGATATGATGACCCACAAAGTGAGCAAGAAGCTCAAACAATCAAAATCAACAATCGAGTTCATCTTCACCAAAAATCTACTTTTCATTCGGGCAACAACTAACTATTTACGTTTATACATTCGAGCACCAAGAACAAGATCGATTTCATTTTTTGAGAACCAGCAACTACAGCTTACAAATACAGCTTATCGCTATCACAGTAGAGAGCAATTTACAGCAGGAGTATTATTGGAACCCGGCTTCGTCTCCGTATTCGTTTGCTTCAAAGTAAAACGAAGAGGCACGGCGGAGCACAAGGCAAAGGGGGCAAAGACCTCCGAGCGAGGAACCAGCTGGAGCGGGCACCATGAAATGATGACGTCGAGAATCAGAATTGTATACGTAGATATTAGATATAGATGGGCACAGCATCGCTATTTTATACTTTTCTTTTCTCATTGCGCTTTCCACCGCGATATGACATTCCTATTCCTTTGATCAATTGCAATATTTTGATATCGATAGTAAGAGTGATGGTATGAATGCGTAATATTGCGTCACTGCAGCTCCTGCTGCACAGGATTGCACCAGCAGCGGCTGCTGCAAGATAGTCAGTCAGACTTTGGTTCTTTTTTTTCAAGACGACGAAATAAATAGAGCTGCTGTATTATACCAGGGGAGTTTCATGAAAAACAAAATCGTCCTAGTTGGGCACGGATCACTCTCCACGTGTTGATTTCAACGCACGCGAGAGTTCTTGCCTGTGCAAAAATGTTGTTCTAGTTTTTTACCTACGCTACTTACTACAAAAAAACACTCAATCTGTTTCAATTTCCGTCAGCGGTCTGTTTCACCGTCGAAGTGCTAGCGGGCCGGAGTTTATTCCTATTCATTTTATATGGTTCTTGAATTTGAATTTCTCGGTTTGGTTTCCCTTTCCTCCACTCGCTTGTTTGTTTGTGAAACCATTTTGAAAATTTTTTACCACGTGCCTTTATTTTGTTTTTTGAGTCGCCGTGTGCGTGTTCAGATCTGGTCGCTGTGAAGAAGAAATTAGAACAGTGTTGTACACGTCACAGGAGCTTGTTCAGAACTCCGAAACCTTTGGAACACGACGAGGTAAAAACATGAGCGCTTCCGCCCTCGCGGCCGGGAAAAGAAATACTCCGATTCCGTGGTACAGCCCCTCCTCTTGGAAGTCCAGTTTTTACTTGGGCTTGGAGGGCGACACCGACTGCGGAACCTGGTACGATTTTTGGAACACCGGACAAGAATGGGTTACGGAATTAGCCATCGTGGTGCCGATCTTGTTTCTTCTCTGGAATTCCAAGGTTTCCGACGTTTTCCGGAAACACCTCGGAGTTCTTGCTGTACCTGTAGTCCCTGATTATGAGAATGCCAGCACGAAGAAATTATCAGCGACTACAGCTAGTACAGGACAAGACAGCACTCCTAGGTCGAGTGCGGATGACAAGAACGGAAAGCCAAGGAAGCAACAGCAAGTAGATTCACCAGCAACTACAACAACAGCACCGGCAGATGAACAGCTACAAGCGATGAAAACAACATCCGAAAAAATCAAAATGGCGAAAAGTGAAATTATAACTCTGATTCCAAACCCGTCGTACCGAGACTACCTCATCGCCCTCCTGATCGGCTTATGAACTGCAAAAGTATCGTACTAGTATAAATTGCAATACAAATCCGCTCAGCATTACAAATCAAATTTGTAATGCGGATTTTCCTTAACAGCCTGAATTTGTAATGCATCGCTGCAATTAGTACGAGTACGATACTTTTGCAGTGCATACGGCTGGCCCCTTCCGTATCTGATCCAGCAGCGGCATGAATCTAGATATGCTGTGCAAAAGTATCGCACTCGTATAAATGCAAGTCTTGCATTACAAATCTTTTTCCCAAGGCAGATCTGCATTACAAATTTTATTTCTCATGCTGAGGAAATTTGTATATGCATCTTTACGAATGCGATACTTTTGCAATTCATACTAGATCTTTGGCAACCATGGGCCACGCATGTCATTTCGTGTTGACCTGCCAGATACTAGTTTTGATCTTACCGATAAATAGGAGCAGAACAAGTGGAAGTAGTGCAGCCGTGAGCAGAACTGCTGCTGGAGGAAGCTACTTCGGTGCAGTTGGCGCAACATCATTTATCAATTTTTTTTCGACCAACTTTCTCGTCTCCCAGCTGCTCCAGCTGGTCGTTATCCCGCTCACTGCCGCCTACGTGCCACCTCTGGCGAAACCGGACTGGCGTGGCTGGATATCAACTGCAAAAATGTCTGGGTCTGGAAACTTGTGATGCAAGTAAGGGAATAGTGAACTCACTATAATGCGCTGCCAAGCATGACAAGCTTTTTCCATGGCTCTGAGTTGCGCACTCCGCAGGAGAAACTTCGTTTTTGCATGTCGGGGAGGAGGAGCTCTTCGCGGCCACGCAACACAGAGTTCAGAGTCATGCCAGACAAGCATGACAAATCTCGCAATCTCCCAGACCCAGACACTTTTGCATTTGATACTGGAGCGAGAAGTTTAACGTGGAATTGCTCCCGAATTCCGGAATCGTCATCAACTTGTACACGTGGAGCTTTGTCGGCGAACACTTGGGGATGGTATTTGCGGGCTTGTACATCCTCTTCTTCTCCCGGTACAGTGTTATCATCAAGGAGATTTTCCAGTCCAAAAAACTTTTTTGGGGTTTTGTTTGGAACAACTACCTCGCCGGGTTTGCGGTCTACCAGGTCTTCTACACGATTGTTTCCCGACTATGCATTGCAAAAGTATCGTACTCGTATAAATGCATTACAAATTTCCTCAGCATGAGAAATAAAATTTGTAATGCGGATTTACCTTAAGAGCAAGATTTGTAATGCATGTTTGCAATTACTACGAGTACGATACTTTTGCACAGGATACCGACTAGTCCAGTACAACGTGGGGTATCAACTGTGCCCCCCTGCTATCCTGTGCAAATAAAGGATCGTACTCGTACTAAGCGCAGTCATGCAAGACAAATTTCTTTTTCAAGCTAAATCAGCATGGTAAATTCCATTTGTGATGCTGAGCTAATTTGTATTGCAACACTACGAGAAGTACGGCACTTTTGCAGTTCATACCGGCCGCGGTGAAAAAGCCGACGGTGAAAATGCTGGAATTGGCGATGGTCGTGTGGAATTTTTTGGTGGACAAGCTGTTCTTGTTCCATGGGGTTCTTTTCGCACTACAAAAAACGGCTCTTTTCTACGAAAAATACCCCGGCCCGACCGATTGGTACGATCAGCCAGCGAAGTGGAATCCGAACTTTGTCGCACCAGGAGCAACAGGCGGTGGAGGTGGATCCGGATCAATAAATACTGCTAGTTCAACATCTTTCGTCGACTTAGTATGGTGTTCTCAATTGTTACATTCTCAACTGTTACATGATTTTTCATGCACGGATACCTTGAGCCGCCAGATGGTGAAGCTGCTTCGCATGACAAATCTGCGAAGGGGTAGGCAGCACCTAAATGTGTGCGGAATTTGTAATGCAAAAGGCGCGATCCTCCTCCTTTCACTTTTGCCATTCTTGCATTACAACCTCGCGTAACAGTTGAGAATGATGTAACGTTTGAGAGCGCCATACTTGGACCGGTTTAACCGGACGCACCCGATCATCAACGTCGTGAAGGATCGGGAGATCTTGCTGAGGGAAGGGGGAGCGGCGGGATCGTCTTTGTCTAGCACGCCGTACGTTTGGAACGACATTTACGCAAACAGAATAGAAGTGGTACAACGACCACCAGCAGCGGGAGGTCTCGGAGTTCTTTCAAGCGGCAGCGGCAACACAGATTCTGACTCAAGTACAACTTCATCTAACGTCACTACCCTCTACTTCAACCTGTGGCACGTTTGGTATAACATGTGCATCATCGGGTGGCTGCTTGGGCCCTGGTTGATTCTGACGTTTTACGTGTTTGGGAAATTCGTTGTCGGGTTTTTTCAACCGAACAACAGCCCGTTCAGGTGGTTCACGCCGGTGAAGGTGATGGCTGCGGGGTTTGCTGTGCCCTTTCTCTTCTGCTTCCTCGCGGTCGCAGTGGATCAAGTGGGGAGGGTGGTGAGGGAGAAATTATGAGATTGATATTGGACATCTTCAAGCAGAAGCACCAATGTTGCGAGGTGGAACGCGAAATCCAAACTAGTCTTTGAGCATGTCTACTTTGCTGCTACGTGCCGCTCCGCACGACGCGTTTAGTGAAAAAGAACAAGCGCCCGCTACTCAAGAAGCAAAAAGGATCTCAAATGCAACGCGCTTATCGACGCTGAGCACACGCTCGCGGAGCGCATCTTGTTCATCTTCATTGTTGAAGAAGACGAAATAACAGGGGTGAGAGAGGAGGAGCGCAGCCGGGCACGGGTTGTTTCTTCACTAGAAGACTGCGATTGGCGTGAGTGTAGTAGGGCTCGGCGCGGTTATTTGATTCGTGACGCCGGTCGCGCGCCGCTTTTCCAAATGGGCGCAGCCGGTTGAAAAGCCGGCGCCCTATTCGCGTCGTACTGGCCTGGCTGCACGCCCGGCCGGCTCCGGAAAGCTTCTGGGCGGCGCCTCCGGGAGCGCGGAAATCCTGGCGGGCTTTGCGAACGGTGGCAGCGCGAGAAGCAGCGCAAGAAGGCCAGAAGGGAGCGCGGCGCCCGCCGGCCCTGGTAGTGCTAGCGCGGGCCCGTGGAACCAGCCCCCCGGCGGAAGAGCGCGCGGACCTTGGGGCGCGCCGGTTCCGCGCGGACGTTTTGGCCGGTGAGTGTTTCGCCTTGGCGAGATTCCGGGCGGGCACCTCCGTAGCACAATCTGCGAAAATGCTGGCGCAGAGCATCAACGCCGCAAGCGGTGGGGGTGAGATGTGGGCCGCCTATGGCAGCGGCGCGCGCCCCGTTTTGTGTGGGGCCCTCTTGGCAGTTGGACGCAGTGCAGCCGTTTGGCCCGTGGCGTGCGTGCAGTGCGCGAGCTCCGAGCGGTGTCGCATGCGACAGAAAGTGCTCATCTTTGGAGACGATGCCGCGGGCGCGGCGGGCGCGGGATAACATTATCGGGGAGCCGCGTCGTTCATGGCCCGAACTAGAAAGGACGTACGAACCCGCGCCGGTGCTGCGTTGCCTGCTGCCTTTTTTGCAATCTGCTACGGGCCGCCGCCGCCGGCCTCCCGCGCCGGCAGGCTGGACGCTGGGCCCGCGGACGCGCCCCCCCTGTATGGTCGTCCGGGGTAGGGCGCCGCTCGCGCAAATGTGGGGGGCTTGGGGGCCGGCGGGCCGCCCGTCCGCGCCCTCTTCTCCACGTGCCGCGGCGGCTCCCTTTGTTTGTCAGACGGCGGTCGGCAAGATTAGTGGCGCGCGCTCGCATGCCAATGAATGGGTGTGGTGGAAAGCCTTGCACATTGGCGGCTGCGTGGATGTTGTAAGGAGCCTGGGTCGTTTCTTGACCGACTTCGCCTGCGCCCTACCAGCGCACACTCACAGCAAGGAAGTGATGCGCGGCTGGGGTTGCGGCTCGACGCCGGTGCCTGAGTTTCAGACAGACCGACGAGCGGTGGTCTGTATTGCATCCGGCGTTGCTCTGGATCGTGACTCAGCAGTATGGCCGTAGTAGCTGGAGAAGGAGATGAGGCCACAGCTCCTCGTTTCTGTTGCCTTGCTGCGTATTAAAACACTCACGCACGATGGTCTTTTGCGAGAAAGTGGTAGCGTCCTGCTCCTTCTGTTCCTGTTTGGCCCGGCGTATGTGTCTCATGTGACTCTCAAATTCCATTTGGGTAAATGAATACGATCCTCATGCATATGCACATGCGCATGACCCAGACCCGCACTGCAGAAGCAAAGTAATAAAGTAAGTCGCCTGTCGCCGTCTCGGCAGCATCACTGGAAAAAACTCACCACAGAATATGATCACGGACACGACCAGCTGCACCAGGAAGATGTAGATGATATACAAACACATCAAAATGATCATCGGAGGATCTCTCTGGTCCGAATACGTAAAGTAAGACCCAAAAGCGATCTTCGTCATTCAAATCAGTGTTAATTTCTGATCACCGCTGCAAGAAATGCCAAAACTCAAGCATTCCCCTGATCTTCCGCGTGAGATCCGAGCCACAAATTTACACAATTTCTACTGACAAGCCTAAATTTTTACTGTCTGCCCTCTACCTTCACAGGACGTCGACAGTCTCAGCAGATGCTACGTGAAAAGAAGTGTCTTGTCTTTGTTTCTGCTAGTACTTGCGACACAACCTGTAGTCACGCGTATAATTTTTGTACGACAGCAACGCTCTCGTCGCTTTAGTTGGTGCCCTAACTCTGCATACGCACGACCGTACGTTGTTTTGCTCTTGATTCGGATTGTTATTTGCGCGACGTCGAACTACACGGGTACCTACTTACTACTAAAAAAAAACACAAAAAAATGGCTCGCCGCAAGAGCAAGACCGCTTCCGGCCTGGAGTCCATGGACCGGTCCCACCCGGAGCACCACGAAACCAAGCGGCAGAACAAGGAAAAGCAGTATTGGAAACAAAAAGTGCAGAAGGACCAGAAGCAGCTGAAGAGAAAGCAGAAGAACCAGGAAACTTTGGTATTCGATGTAAAAACGCGAAACGCGTTCATCACCGGGTTTCGGAAGCGGAAGCAGGAGCGACAGCGCGTGGCCAAGCAGGAGAATGAGGATAAACTCCAGGAATCGAAACGGGAAATGCGACGGGAAAATCGGGAACGGATTACGGAAGAGTACGAGCAAATGAGGGAGGCAGTGAAGAAAACATTGGAGACGTTGAATAAAGACGAGGGGGATGAGACTACATGCAAAGGAGATAAAGAACACGGAACTACAGGTGGTGCAAAAGAGCACGGCAAAGACGACGAGAATTGCGCAGCAGTTGTATCGCATGACAAAGACGAAGAAAATTCCGAAATCCAACCCCTCGACCAGTCCCAGAAGCCCCCAACAATCGATGTTTTCAGTGCGGAGATTGAAGATTCGGACTCCGATGACTGTCTGTTCCCCAACGCAACAGTGACCACCACTTTCGGGCTGCCGGACTGTCCGACGGCGTTGGGCGGTGGGAGTGTACCGGGAGTGACGCTGGGTGGCAGAAGTTCCAGTTGCAGCGCAGCGGGAGGTAGGGATGCAACACCAAGGGAAGATCACAACAGCAAACTTTCTGAACAAACTACAAATAATTTGGACGGCTCGACAGCAAGTACAGCTCGAGCTGCTGCTTCCGGAACAGGTGGGGACAAGAAGAAAACGTTAGAAGAAAAGGTAAAAAAGAGTGCGAAGAAAGTGAAGAGAACGTCGAAGCCGACGCGAAAATCAGCGGGGATGGCGAGAAAGAGCAAAGCGAAAAAGAAACAAGCGGCGAAGAAAAATAAAGGCGGGAAAAAGAAGGGTGGCGGGGGTGGGGGAAAGAAAGGCGGGAAGAAGAAGTGAGGGATTGGGATAAGGATATCAACAACGATGATGATTTTTTCTTCGTTCATCTTCTAGCTGGCTCGTGTCAGCACGTTGTACATGTACTATCTTTCAGTGCATTACTAGCAACGATTTCTAACTGGTGCCTCTTGTCCCGTCACTGCATTCGTATTTGCTATTGAGCATCAGAAAATTAGGCAGTGGTTTTATTCAACACACGCGCGCCTACTACTGTCGCTGCGGAGATGAACAACTCTACAAGACGAAGTGTTCTTCTTCCATGCCAATTCGCCTTCTTGTTGCACCATTCTTTGCTCAAATCTTTATCGGTCGGTTTCAAGGTTGAGAATGTGACCACCCAGCCGCAACAAGAATGCTTTCACGTCTTGACATTGGAGCCTCGGTCTAGTTCGACTGTGCTAGGCCTCAGGTTTGTTCAGAAGTTATCAAAAAAGCAGAAAGAAAGTTTATCGAAGACATCGGCCGTAGCTGAATCGCTCGTGACATTGACACCCTCATTTCGGTTGTACGCCAGTAGAAGTTTTTACTCCACCCTTGTTGTATTGACGAATCCGAACTTCCCCTTTACGTGTCCGCAACGGCCGAGGAGGCGCTGGAGGCCGCACAGCAAGCCCGCAAGGACGTGCTTGCGAACTACCGCGAGCGGGTCGACGCCATCCGGGCGCAACGCGCGCAGCGAGCTGAGGCCCCCGCCCCGCCGCTCGGGGGTCTCGCACAATGAAGTCGAAGAAAGGAAAGAATTTGTTCTGAAATTGAAATCAAGAGGTTCTTCACAGTGAAGTTCCTCAAGTAGACTCCTCATTTTGAGTAGAAGTCTGGCGTACTAAACGCGAACACTGTAAACTGTAAACTGTAAATCACATGCTGTTCCTGGTTGGAACACGTGCTGTTCCTGTTTCTCGTTCTCGCGCACTACGTACGTTTCCATTATTATTTCTTCGAAATGTGTTGATTGCCATGTTGCTCTTTTCTCAGTACCATTCATGACCCACCCTCAACCTCAAGTAAATAAGCAAGTACTCACATACCCACCTATTTTCACTTTTAGAATAAACAGAGTTATGCTGGAGTTCGAGTTTCAGGAAGGAAAACGACACGACGTTTTGTTCCATCCTAAATAAAGAACCTTTGTCGATTAAGTGTACTTATTATTGTAAGATGAACCTGAAGAACATCAAGGACAACAACTCACGACTATAATGAGCAGCATCGACAAGATGTCGTCATCGAATAAGGCATCGAATAGCAGCTCCACGACCAAGCCCTCGAAAAAAGCCGCCGACGAGAAGCAGAACGCCCTTGTCATTGGCAACGGCATCAACGGCATCATGATTACCATGCTCATCAGCATCATCGTCCCACATGCACGACGAGAACAGCATTCCGTTCTTATCGAGCCCCAGATTGGCATAGTACGCTCCTTGCTGACAGGCTACAGCATCGGGGTACCGGGCGTAGCAAATTGGTAGGGTATGCAGAGAAAAAAGATGTCGATGCTCTTCGCAGTCACACTATTGCTCCTACATCTTCTCACTGTGAATGCAAAAAGAAAACGTACAAAAGTACGTTCTGCACTGCGCTCGCTCGTTTTCATGTGGTTTGTGTGCCGAGGGATTTGAGTTTAGGCATAGTGATGAGATGCTTTTTCGGTCCTCGGACATGCTCGCCTATTCGGTTCCTGTCTTCTACCTGATTCGCATGCCCGAGTTGGATCGCGCCTCGCTCGCCTTTTTCGTTTCCTCGCTTTTCTTAGAGTCCGGACGCATCTCGGTTTCGGATGAGAGAAGGTGTGGCGCATACGTACGTAGGTCTGTACTATGTACAGGTTTAGAGCCAGCGCAGCTGAAGCCCTACTGTGTTGGACTTCCGGCAGGCCACTGGATTGTCCTTCATAGGCCGCCGAGAGATTCGCTTTGCCTCGCTCGATTTTTTTCTTCATCCTTCTCTTTTTGCTTTTCTTTTCCAAAAAACTATGCATGTAGGGATCGCACATGACAAGATGGGCGTCCGTCGCGGCCGGATCTCCCAGGGTTTCAGGGTTTAGGTTCGTTTAGGGTTCCTATTTGACTTACTCCCTTGTATTGACGTATACGGAACACATGCTGTTCCTGGTTGGAACACGTGCTGCTCCTGTTTCTCGCTCTCACGCACGACGTACTTCTCCACCATCATCTCTTCGAAATGTGTTGACTCTGATTGCCATGTTGCTAATCTCTCAGTACCATTCATGATCATGACCCCCCCCTCAAGTAAGTAAGCCAGTACTCACATACTCACATACCCACCTACTTTGACCTTCACTTTCGAGTTATGTTGGAGCTCAAGTTTCAGTAAGGAAAGCGACACGACGCTTTGTTCGATCCTAGATAAAGAGCCTTCATTTTGTAAGAAACTGAAGAACAAGAGAAGTAAAGTATCTGGCATATAGCTTTGGTATCGAGCTGCACCGTAAATAGAAAACCAAAAATACCAATCCCGACAGTACTACGCCAAAGACAACAACTCACGATCATAATGGGCAGCATTGACAAAATGTCGTCATCCACTAAGCCACCGGGGAATAGCAGCTCGACTAAAAAGTCCAAAAAAGCCGCCGACGAGAAGCAGAACGCCCTTGTCATTGGCAACGGCATCATCGGCTTAACCACCGCCCAGGAACTCTCCAAACACGGTTTCAATGTCACGATTGTGACAAACCAGAAAGAACCCTACCCGAGTAAAACGGATCCGAAGAAGTTGATGGAGTTGGACTCGCTGTCCGCTCTGGCGGGGGGTTGGTGGTACCCGTACTCGACAAATTTGGACGGGGGGTCGTTAGCTGTCGACCCAGTCAGGCAGAAACAGTACGACTTGAAAGTGACAAATTGGGCCATCGCGACGTTGGAAAAGTATTTGGAACAGGAACAGTTTTTCACCGCGCAGAACGATGGGGAGAGTGACAATAAAACTGGCGCTACTAGCAGTACTTCTGCGAGCAGAGCAAGCTTCTCCGAGTCTAGGAACAGCACGACGTCCACTTCTGCCTCAGCGTCGCAGCAAAACGTCTCGATGGTTGATTTATTGGATAACACCAAAGCGATCCAAGATGCCGCTTCTCTGGGGCAGCATGTGGAGGAGGTCCCTTCTTTGATTCTCCGTTCCGGGGAGGATTTTAAGAATAAAGAAGAGGAAGAAGCGTCCATACCGAACTGGAGTGGCACCAGGCGGGATTTGCACAAATGGACCCGGACCGATCGGTCCGGTGCGGAAGCACTACTGTTCGAGTACTTCCGGAAAAAAGCGGCGAAGTGGGACCGGATGCTGGGGAAGCAGGAGAAGGAAATGGTCAAGGCCGGGTTGATCGCGAAGTTAGAAGATCGGCCGAAGTTGGTCTCGCTGGAGAAACTCCGGGAGGAGCGAACCGCGGCGAAGGAGCAGGAACAGTTGCAGAAAGCATTGGCGGAGCAGGAGAAAAAGCGGCTGGAAAGGGAAGCTCGGGAGAAGGCGGAAGAGGAAAAAGCGATGAACCCATTTAAGATATCAACTCGGCAGCCGAGTGACGAAGGTGAAGAGATAAACGCAGGAGATGATACAACTGCAGCTCCCGAGTCGACGAGTGGTAATAATTCCAAATTGGCCGACCAAGATGAAGATCCGCTTGCGGGTGCTGGGACCTCGGTTTCGCCCAAATCTAGAAGGTCGTCGAAATCCTCCTCAAAGCACAAAAATTCGACATCTCCAGGCGAAGACTTCATGCGAAAAATGAAGTCCAAAATCGGTGACAACACCGGAGGCGAAGTAGAAGGAGGCTCCTCACCAAAATTACAACTCCCCGGCGCCCAGAAGGAGGAGGAAGAGCGGGTAAACATCCGCACACTGTCTATCGAGTACGAGAAGTTTCTTCCGGAGCTGCCCGGCGGGTTTTTTAACGCTGATTTTTTCCTGTCCGTCGTTTGCGACAGTCCTCTGTACCTGCACGCGATGGAAAAAATTTTGAAGAAAACGCAGGTCCGTTTTTGCTACAACAGGCCACTCAACAACCTTCAGGAAGTGATGGAGTTTGTCATGAATATCCTGTGCAAAAGTATCGTACTCGTAGTAATCGCAGTCATGCAATACAAATTTTTATCTCAAAGTAAAACAGCATCACAAATTCCATTTGTCATGCGGAGCTAATTTGTAATGCGATTACTACTAGTACGATACTTTTGCAATGCATAATGAAGACCGGAAAGCCAATCGGCGCTTTGGACATGATATGCAGTGCAAAAGCATCGTACTCGTATAAATGCATTACAAATTTTCTCAGCATGAGAAATAAAATTTGTAATGCGGATCTTGCTTAAGAAAAAAGATTTGTAATGCATGATTGCAACACGAGTACGATACTTTTGCAATGCATACATGAAGCCGCCGTATTTCGATGTGGTGGTGAATTGCTGTGGGTTGTACGGTATGAACTGCAAAAGTACTTAAAAGTATCGTACTCGTCGTAGTACAATTGCAATACAGATCTATTTCTTGAGGTAAATCCGCATTACAAATTTTATTTCTCATGCTGAGAAAATTTGTCATGCATTTATGCGAGTGCGATACTTTTGGTTTCATATACGGTGGCGATCTGAAGATGGATCAAGAGGAAGACGAGGAAGTCGAGAGTGTCAGTTCCGTAATCAAGTCGCCCGGAACAAATAACAAAAAAGATAAAGACGAAGATCAAGATGATTTATTCGACGCGATGGCCCTCGGCGAGCCTTTAGCCGGCATGACAAAAAATTCCGCGAAAGACGAGGAGAAAGAAAAGCAGAAGCTCAACATCCACCCGAAAACTGGGGAGCCGAAAGAGGTGCTGTCCGCCTACGGCGGCATTGCCGTGTTTCAGCGCCTATGCAATGCAAAAGCATCGTACTCGTATAAATGCATTACAAATTTCCTCTGCATGAGACATGAAATTTGCAATGCGGATTTACCTTGATAAAGAAATTACTATTGAAACTGCAGCAACTAGCCAAAATTGGCATTCCTACCCTGGTTCCAGGGTAGGTTCCAGGGTAGGGCTCCGGGGTAGGTAACACGAGGGGACAGTGGATTTAAGAGGGGGAGGGGTACAGCCTACCCAGGAACCGACCCAGGAACCGACTCAACCCGACTCCTCAGCCGACCGATACAGCTCGGGGAAAAAAACAAACACGAGCTGTGGAGTCGGGTAAAGAGTCGGGTAAAAGTCGGGCCCAGGGTAGGTTTTGAGTCGGGTAAAGTCGGGTAAATAGCTCGGGAAAGGCAAAGCGATCTTACCCGACTCCAGCCGATGCGATATCCTTTGCCGATGTGTGTGGGTCTGGAAGAGGCCAAGTCTGTCGCGCATACTTTGCGTGATCCACTATAATGCAAGCCATTTGAAGCCGGCGCCAGGTTTTTGCCGCTTTCCCGCATGGGGGCACGGAGCAAAGCCACGTCAAAAAGCTGCGCGCGTGGCTTTTTGGAAGCAAGCGAAGCCGACGCCCATGCTTTGGCGCTTTTCCGCATGGGGCACCGGAAAGCTTTGCGGCTGGCTTTCTACCAGCTAGCGAAGCCGCCGCCAGATTTTTGCCGCTTTCCCGCATGGGGGCACGGAGCAAAACCACGCCACAAAGCGCCGCGGCTGGCATAATTTTGGACGGGGGCACCATGTAGGGCGCGTGGGAACTGGCACGGGGACACGGAGCAAAGCCGCGGCAAGAATTTTCCCAGAATTGGGCGAAGGTGGTGCCCGGTTTCTCGCGCAAATCGGCACGGGGACACGAAGCAAAACCGTGGCCAGAAGCTGCCCCGAACGGACACAATAGGGCGAAGGCGGTGCCCGGCTTCTCGCGCAAACTGGCGCGGGGACACGGAGCAAAGCCGCGGCCAGAATCGCGCTCGCCGCACTGGCACACGGAGCAAAACCGCACCCCCCCCAGAATTGGGCGAGGGCGGTGCCCGGTGGCTCGCGCAAACTGGCACGGGGACACGGAGCAAAGCCGCGGCCAGAACCGCGTCCGCCGCACTGGCACACGGAGCAAGGCCGCCCCGCCCCCCCCCAGAATTGGGCGAGGGCGGTGCCCGGTGTCTCGCGCAAACTGGCACGGGGACACGGAGCAAAGCCGCGGCCAGAGCCGCACGCTCCCGCCGCACTGGCACACGGAGCGAGACCGCCCCTCCCCAGAATTGGATGGGCGAGGGCGGTGCCCGGTTTCTCGCGCAAACTAGCACGGGGACCCTCCCGGAGCAAAGTCGCGGCCAGAGGCTCCCCCGAATTCACTGGGCGAAGGTGGTGCCCGGCTTCTCGCGCAAACTAGCATGGGGACGCGGTGCAAAGGCGCGGCCAGAAGCTTCCCGAAATTGGGCGAAGACGGTGCCCGGGCTCTCGCGCAAACTGGCACGGGGACCCGGAGCAAAGTCGCGGCCAGAAGCTTCCCGGAGCCAACGAATTCACTGGGCGAAGGTGGTGCCCGGTCTCTCGCGCAAACTAGCATGGGGACCCGGAGCAAAGTCGCGGCCAGAAGCTTCCCAGAATTCATGGGGCGAAGGTGGTGCCCGGTTTCTCGCGCAAACTAGCACGGAGGCCCGGGGCAAAGGCGCGGCCAGAAGCTTCCCGGAACTGAGCGAAGGCGGTGCCTGGGTTCTCGCGCAAACTGGCATGGGGACCCGGAGCAAAGTCAAGGCCAGAAGCTTCCCGGACGTGACTCATTCGGCGAAGGTGGTGCCCGGTTTCTCGCGCAAAGTAGCATGTGGACCCGGGGCAAAGTCGCGGCCAGAAGCTTCCCAGAATTCACTGGGCGAAGGTGTTGCCCGGTTTCTCGCGCAAACTAGCAGGGGGACCCGGAGCAAAGGCGCGGCCGGAAGCGTCCCGGAATTGGGCGGAGATGGTGCCCGGGTTCTCGCGCAAACTGGCACGGGGACCCGGAGCAAAGTCATGGCCAGGGGCTTCCCCGAATTCACTGGGCGAAGGCGGTGCCCGGTTTCTCGCGCAAACTAGCATGGTGCCCCGGAGCAAAGTCGCGGCCAGAAGCTTTCCAGAATTCATTGGGCGGAGGTGGTGCCCGGTTTCTCGCGCAAACTAGCATGGGGACCTGGAGCAAAGGCGCGGCCAGAAGCTTCCCGGAATAAATTGGGCGAAGACGGTGCCCGGGTTCTCGCGCAAACTGGCATGGGGACCCGGAGCAAAGTCACGGCCACAAGCTTCCCAGAATTCACTGGGCGAAGGTGGTGCCCGGTTTCTCGCGCAAACTAGCAGGGGGACCCGGAGCAAAGTCGCGGCCAGAAGCTTCCCAGAATTCATTGGGCGAAGGTGGTGCCCGGTTTCTCGCGCGAACTAGCATGGGGACCCGGAGCAAAGGCGCGGCCAGAAGCCTCCCGGAATTGGGCAAACAAAGGCGGCGCCCCGGTTCTCGCGCAAATTGGCATGGGGACCCGGAGCAAAGTCACGGCCAGAAGCTTCCCAGGGTGAATGAATTCACTGGGCGAAGGTGGTGCCCGGCTTCTCGCGCGAACTAGCACGGGGACCCGGAGCAAAGTCGCGGCCATAAGCTACACAAGTGAAATATGCCCCCGCCCCCGGAAGTCAGCAAGTCTTGGGTGCTTAGGTAGCACCCCATCTGGTGCTTAGGAAGCACCCCGCCTTGTATTATTTGGCACCCGGATGGTCTCTGAATGATGGACCAGCTGAGACTCTTACGTCGTACGTAGAACTCCTAGGAACTTCGGTTCAAAGTGTTGGCGTTGATCTCCAGACTCATGGGACTCTGCTGGGTCAAGCTCAAGTGTCTGAGTACGACTGTAATTAAGAGCAATAGCATTGCAGCTGGCTGATCGCGAGCAAGTAATAAATAGCGTTAGCTAGTAGAAGCACCGCCCCGATCTAGAGGATGTCTGAATATTGAAGGATCGCCAGCGCGCAAGCTTCGAGCTTTTGGCGCGGTCATGCACAGAAACAAAATCTGGGAAAAGCTCGACAGGGGGGTCCAGTCATGGGCCGGCGAATGCGGGCGATCCGGGTGTCACATAGACACCCGATCTGCCGGAATCCGGCGGCGCAGAAGAAGCCGACTTTGTGGCTGCCACATCGGGGCTGTAGCCCGTGGATTCCCTTCAGAAAAGCGGCGATCTTTTCTTTGGGGCGCCAGATCCCGGCAGATCGGGTGTCTATGTGACACCCGGATCGGCGGACTTGCCGCATCGGGCGAGTGCAACGCCCACCCTGTGGCGCCTGCATGCAAAGACCCAACGCGCTTGCTGCAAAATGTCACAAGTGGAGCGCTCGCATGCCTACGATACCACGGCGCTCAGGGTGTGAAGTAGGCTCATCGCCGGCATGGATCGTCTTTGCTACCTGGGCAGATGGTCATCATCCCATGAGCTTGAGGTCGCGCAGCAGACTCCGACGAGTCTGCAGATCGACTGCAGCTCCTTCGTCAGCATTTTGAACAGAAGTCCCTAGGAGTTCTGCGACATAAGAGTCTCAGCTGGTCCATCATTCAGAGACCATCCGGAGCCCGACACTTGTTGGGTGCCAAATAATGCAAGATGGGGTGCTTCCTAAGCACCAGATGGGGTGCTACCTAAGCACCCCAGAGTTGGTGACTTCCGGGGGCGGGGGCATATTTCACTTGTGTATAAGCTTCCCGGAATTCACTGGGCGAAGGTGGTGCCCGGTTTCTCGCGCAAACTAGCACGGGGACCCGGAGCAAAGGCGCGGCCAGAAGCTTCCCGGAATTGGGCGAAGACGGTGCCCGGGTCCTCGCGCAAACTGGCATGGGGACCGACCCGGAGCAAAGTCACGGCCAGAAGCTTCCCAGAAGTCATTGGGCGAAGGTGGTGCCCGGTTTCTCGCGCAAACTAGCAGGGGGGCCCGGCGCAAAGTCGCGGCCAGAAGCTTCCCAGAATTCAATGGGTGAAGGTGGTGCCCGGCTTCTCGCGCAAACCAGCATGGGGACCCGGAGCAAAGGCGCGGCCAGAAGCTTCCCGGAATTGGGCGAAGGCGGTGCCCGGGTTCTCGCGCAAACTAGCATGGGGACCCGGAGCAAAGTCGCGGCCAGAAGCTTCCCGGAACGAATTCACTGGGCGAAGGTGGTGCCCGGTCTCTCGCGCAAACTAGCATGGGGACCCGGAGCAAAGTCGCGGCCAGAAGCTTCCCAGAATTCATGGGGCGAAGCAATATGGTGGGGGCGAGAGGCATGTATGAGTTTTGCGATGTATTGGCGGAAATACATCGCAAAGCTCATACATCATACATGGAAGATTTGAGGAGAGCGACCTTCCTCACTTTCGTACATTATTTATACATCATACATTGTACATCATACATCGCAAACTCTCCGCTGTAGGTACCTCATACATCATACATCGCAACTTCTCCGCTGTAGGTACCTCATACGTCATACATCATACACCGCAAGTTCTCCGCTCTGGGTACCTCATACATTGTACATCATACATCATACATTGTACATGGTGCATCCTGCTTGGTACGTTGTACATCGTATATTGTACATTGTACATCGTACATCGACCACAGCTCGGCAGAGGCCCGGACGTCGAGCAGTTGCAACAGCTCGACGCGGCTGCTCCAACAGCTTGGCATGGCCTCGCTTGTCGAGCTGTTTGAACAGCTCGACAACAGCCCGACATGGACCCGGATGTCGAGCTGTTGGAACAGCTCGACAACGGCTCGACATGATGGACCCGGATGTCGACAGCTCGACATGGACCCGGATGTCGAGCTGTTCGAGCAGCTCGACAACAGCTCGACACGGGCTCGGATGTAGAGCTGTTTGAACAGCTCGACAACAGCTCAACATGGGCCCGGATGTCGAGCTGTTTCAACAGCTCGACAACAGCTCGGCAGAGGCCCGGATGTCGAGCTGTTGCAACAGCTCGACACGGCTGCCCCACCAGCTCGACATGGACCCGGGTATCGAGCTGTTGGAACAGCTCGACAACGGCTCGACATGGGCCCGGATGTCGAGCTGCTCGAACAGCTCGACGACCTACAATGTACAATGTACGATGTACCATGTCCAATACATCAATGTACATAATGCACAATGCACCAATGTACAATGTATCATACATCGTACATCATACACTGGACCATGTACAATGTACGATGTGCCATGTATGATACATTGATGTATTGCACCTCATACGTTGTACATGGGAACCGTCGCGCTCTCCTCAAATCTTCCATGTGTGATGTATGAGCTTTGCGATGTATTTCCGCCAATACATCGCAAAACTCATACATGCCTCTCGCCCCCACCATACCCGAATTCACTGGGCGAAGGTGTTGCCCGGTTTCTCGCGCAAACTAGCAGGGGGACCCGGAGCAATGGCGCGGCTAGAAGCTTCCCGGAATTGGGCGAAGACGGTGCCCGGGTTCTCGCGCAAACTGGCATGGGGGCCGGCCGGGAGCAAAGCCACGGCCAGGAGCTTGCTCCCCAGAATTCACTGGGCGCAGGCGGTGCCCGGTTTCTCGCGCAAACTAGCATGGGGACCCGGAGCAAAGTCGCGGCCAGAAGCTTCCCAGAATTCATTGGGCGAAGGTGGTTCCCGGTTTCTCGCGCAAACTAGCATGGGGACCCGGAGCAAAGGCGCGGCCAGAAGCGTCCCGGAATTGGGCGAAGACGGTGCCCGGGCTCTCGCGCAAACTGGCATGGGGACCCGGAGCAAAGTCGCGGCCCGAAGCTTCCCAGAATTCACTGGGCGAAGGAGGTTCCCGGTTTCTCGCGCAAACTAGCATGGGGACCCGGAGCAAAGTCGCGGCCAGAAGCTTCCCAGAATTCATGGGGCGAAGGTGGTGCCCGGTTTCTCGCGCAAACTAGCACGGAGGCCCGGGGCAAAGGCGCGGCCAGAAGCTTCCCGGAACTGAGCGAAGGCGGTGCCTGGGTTCTCGCGCAAACTGGCATGGGGACCCGGAGCAAAGTCAAGGCCAGAAGCTTCCCGGACGTGACTCATTCGGCGAAGGTGGTGCCCGGTTTCTCGCGCAAAGTAGCATGTGGACCCGGGGCAAAGTCGCGGCCAGAAGCTTCCCAGAATTCACTGGGCGAAGGTGTTGCCCGGTTTCTCGCGCAAACTAGCAGGGGGACCCGGAGCAAAGGCGCGGCCGGAAGCGTCCCGGAATTGGGCGGAGATGGTGCCCGGGTTCTCGCGCAAACTGGCACGGGGACCCGGAGCAAAGTCATGGCCAGGGGCTTCCCCGAATTCACTGGGCGAAGGCGGTGCCCGGTTTCTCGCGCAAACTAGCATGGTGCCCCGGAGCAAAGTCGCGGCCAGAAGCTTTCCAGAATTCATTGGGCGGAGGTGGTGCCCGGTTTCTCGCGCAAACTAGCATGGGGACCTGGAGCAAAGGCGCGGCCAGAAGCTTCCCGGAATAAATTGGGCGAAGACGGTGCCCGGGTTCTCGCGCAAACTGGCATGGGGACCCGGAGCAAAGTCACGGCCACAAGCTTCCCAGAATTCACTGGGCGAAGGTGGTGCCCGGTTTCTCGCGCAAACTAGCAGGGGGACCCGGAGCAAAGTCGCGGCCAGAAGCTTCCCAGAATTCATTGGGCGAAGGTGGTGCCCGGTTTCTCGCGCGAACTAGCATGGGGACCCGGAGCAAAGGCGCGGCCAGAAGCCTCCCGGAATTGGGCAAACAAAGGCGGCGCCCCGGTTCTCGCGCAAATTGGCATGGGGACCCGGAGCAAAGTCACGGCCAGAAGCTTCCCAGGGTGAATGAATTCACTGGGCGAAGGTGGTGCCCGGCTTCTCGCGCGAACTAGCACGGGGACCCGGAGCAAAGTCGCGGCCATAAGCTACACAAGTGAAATATGCCCCCGCCCCCGGAAGTCAGCAAGTCTTGGGTGCTTAGGTAGCACCCCATCTGGTGCTTAGGAAGCACCCCGCCTTGTATTATTTGGCACCCGGATGGTCTCTGAATGATGGACCAGCTGAGACTCTTACGTCGTACGTAGAACTCCTAGGAACTTCGGTTCAAAGTGTTGGCGTTGATCTCCAGACTCATGGGACTCTGCTGGGTCAAGCTCAAGTGTCTGAGTACGACTGTAATTAAGAGCAATAGCATTGCAGCTGGCTGATCGCGAGCAAGTAATAAATAGCGTTAGCTAGTAGAAGCACCGCCCCGATCTAGAGGATGTCTGAATATTGAAGGATCGCCAGCGCGCAAGCTTCGAGCTTTTGGCGCGGTCATGCACAGAAACAAAATCTGGGAAAAGCTCGACAGGGGGGTCCAGTCATGGGCCGGCGAATGCGGGCGATCCGGGTGTCACATAGACACCCGATCTGCCGGAATCCGGCGGCGCAGAAGAAGCCGACTTTGTGGCTGCCACATCGGGGCTGTAGCCCGTGGATTCCCTTCAGAAAAGCGGCGATCTTTTCTTTGGGGCGCCAGATCCCGGCAGATCGGGTGTCTATGTGACACCCGGATCGGCGGACTTGCCGCATCGGGCGAGTGCAACGCCCACCCTGTGGCGCCTGCATGCAAAGACCCAACGCGCTTGCTGCAAAATGTCACAAGTGGAGCGCTCGCATGCCTACGATACCACGGCGCTCAGGGTGTGAAGTAGGCTCATCGCCGGCATGGATCGTCTTTGCTACCTGGGCAGATGGTCATCATCCCATGAGCTTGAGGTCGCGCAGCAGACTCCGACGAGTCTGCAGATCGACTGCAGCTCCTTCGTCAGCATTTTGAACAGAAGTCCCTAGGAGTTCTGCGACATAAGAGTCTCAGCTGGTCCATCATTCAGAGACCATCCGGAGCCCGACACTTGTTGGGTGCCAAATAATGCAAGATGGGGTGCTTCCTAAGCACCAGATGGGGTGCTACCTAAGCACCCCAGAGTTGGTGACTTCCGGGGGCGGGGGCATATTTCACTTGTGTATAAGCTTCCCGGAATTCACTGGGCGAAGGTGGTGCCCGGTTTCTCGCGCAAACTAGCACGGGGACCCGGAGCAAAGGCGCGGCCAGAAGCTTCCCGGAATTGGGCGAAGACGGTGCCCGGGTTCTCGCGCGAGCTGGCATGGGGACCCGGGGCAAAGTCACGCGCAGAAGCTTCCCAGAATTGGGCGTGCCGCCGGCTTTTAGAAGTTAGGCCGCCCGCCAAGCGCTTCTCTCCTACCTGAAGTAGGGCCGCCAGGCAGCGGCGCCCAATGGCCCGGGGCCGATTTCCAAACGCCTGCCATCAGCCTGCAGGCCGGTGTCGGAGTCCTGCAAGTGGAAGCGAACGCGCCACCCCTCGGGCGCCCATCGGGGCGCCCTATGTTGTAGCCCGCTGGGGATGGCGCGGCACTGGCCATTCCTCTACTTCGCGACGCGCGTCCCCGTTGCGGTTGCGTTCGAATGTCGCGAGGAGCAAGCCCGCACGGCCTCGGAAACCGCTCCGACCGCCCAATGCCCTCCAAAGATGCAAGGTCTCTGCACGGGGGCCCCAGCCCCCGTGCTCGGACCTTGTTTGTAATGCATGATTGCAATTCCTACGAGTGCGATACTTTTGCACAGCATAGCGCCCGAACGGGTTGAAAATTCGGAACAAGAAGCGGTACCCGCCAAACGTATCCATAAAGCTCTCCGCGCACGACGGTCTGGTCGGGCGAAAGCACATGTTGTCCTCCACCTTCCCTGCCTACGTGATCCCCCGCGGGGAATTCTTGATAGTGGGCGGGAGTTGCATGCTCGAGGGAGAACACGACGCGGAGATCCCGGCGTATTACTACGAGAAATTGTCGAAGTGGGAGAAGTATGGATTGCAAAAGTAGATTCTTCGTATTAATACGTGGTAAATGCATAACAAATTTGCTCAGCATGACCACGGATGAAATTTGTCATGGTGAATTGCCTACGGCTCCAGTTTTGCTTTTGTCATGCGTGATTGCAATTACCACGAGCCCATAGAAGATATTGCTTTTGCACATTATAAAAGAGGGTTGGGCACGCTGAAACTCGCGACTTCGGAGCAAGACCGGTTGAACCACGTGTGGAAGGATTTTTTGCCCACGGTGTCAAATATGAAAGTGCACAACTCCCCCTGCCTCCCCCTCATTTGTATTGCATGAAGAGCACGACGACAAGCGTCAGCAAGAATACAGGTTTTGCATGACAAATTTGGAGAGGAATGTAGTGCTGCTTGGGCTGCCAGAAGTTGTAATGCAAACAGTGCCAAGAGCCAAGGCGTAAATCTAAGGCATTTTGCATGACAAATGAGGGGGAGGGGGAGTTGTGCACTGTCATATCAAATAGGAAATACCCAGAAGAGAAATCCGGCAACGCGCCGTTGTTCCACAAAATTGGAAGAAGACCGATTCGGGAGGAGGGGGTGTTGTGTGCGGTGGACGAGAATTTGAGCTACAGCCTCGCATTGGAGTATGACATTGGGAACAATGTGGCCACCGGGGGCGGGACGACTAAAAAGCCGTTGCAGCTACCGTTTGTTTGGGCGGACAACTACGGGCACGGGGGTGCGGGGTGGACTCTGGCGTGGGGGTGCGCGCAAGACATCGGGGTGCAGATTGTCAAGAAATTGGCCGCGGGACACTGAGGAAGGAACAATTTGAAGGGAAAAACAGCTTGCCAGCGCAAGAGGCGGAATGACTTCATCGAACAAAAATATCAGTCTGTTTGGACTGCATGACGGGTGCCATGCTATTGAAGTCAATATTTATAGCAGGTTGATTCCTCGTCTTCAAGTTCAACATGATTCTCGAACAAAAATTACAAATACTAAAGTTTGCTGTGGCTGCATATGTGAGTCGAGCACCAGCACTTGCGCCGTTGTTCGACGGTGCGTCTGTTCTTCGAATAATTACATATGTGAGTGCAAAAACAATTTTATTTAAACTTAGAGGCCTGCCGTGGTTGTGGCTAATGTACCAGTACGACTATCGAGCAGTGGCCCCTCCCTGGTTTATTCGTTCACCTTCTTGCCCAAATCACAGTAAGGAGGCAGAAGCCGCTTTCTGCTGCATGCAGCGTATGATAGGTCGGCTCGTTTGTTTGTGTATCGTCCGCAATTTCATCAATTTTTCGCGCACGTTCAAAGCGAATAGTCGGTTTTAGTTTTTTCGTGCACACTTGCCGCATTTTTTCTTGTTCGCGTCCTCCGACACAACTGCAATTGGTCTTCGGTCTCCGTCCACATTTTGACAAGAAGTACCGATCGTGCTGTCTGTGATGCGTTTTTTCCCTTCGTGCGTTTTTGTCGTGCAACCAGAATGTCAACGTGAGAAGTTTTTTTTCGGCACTGCAACGAAGATGAACAGTGCGCGTTATACTCTTTGCCCTGTCTTCCTTCCAGGTGGTCGTGATTGAAAACCTCGGCCTTATTTCAGAATTCCTTGTTGACCCACGAAGAACATAAATTACCCCGTACTAAGATTTAGAAAACATAAACAACCAGAAGGACGAAAAATACTAAACAACAAGTCTAGAACCACTAGAAAGAACAACCGAACTCGATTCATTGCTCCATTGCCTAGGAAGTAAGTAGAAGAAAGAAGAACTACAAGCTTCCCAAACCAGCAAAAAAATGTCCGTCGAAGGTTCAGTGTTTGGCGGGCGTTTCGCCTCCCAGCCGGCGCCCCGGGCTACTACTTCCCAACAACAGCCCCTGATCCTGAACCCGCCCACGCAGGTCGGCACCGCCGCCGGGCAACCAGGGGCGGGCCAGCAGTTTGTGCAGCAACCGGGGCTGACTTCCCTTTACGACCGCCAGTACATCACGTTGCACAATTTGTTGGAGCGGGAGATGCGGCAGCGGGTCGAGAGCGAGAAGATGATCCGCGACGACATGACCTCCATGCAGGAGGGCTTGGCCAGGTGTACCAACCAGATCCACGAGGTGTCCACCGACCTCCGCGGGAATCTCCCTCGCCTGTACCAGGAGTGCAAGGAGCTGAGGCAGGACTGCAAGGCGCTGACGCAGGCGTTTAACGCGCATTCCATGGAACTGGCGAAACTGAACGAGATCATCGCCGAAAACAAGTCGGAGACCCTGATGCGATTCGAAAAGAACGAGCAAAATATGCATTTGTAAATATGTCTGGGTCTAGAAGGATCATGCGAAGATGAGCAAACTTCTCATGCGCATTCCACAACGCTGCACGCAAATCTCTCATGCATAGGCAGCAAAAGATGCCCAAGCCCATTTCCTGTCACCAAAATGGGGGATTTGTCATGCGGATTAGGCAAAAATGCGGAAGCGTCTCGAATAAATCTGTGATGCTAGGGCCGCTGCCATGACAGACCTTCTGTGTCATGCAAAATAGACAGCATGACTTGTTCCAGAGAACCCAGACATATTTGCATTTGATACAAAAAGCGGAGGAGCGATTGATGTACGACAGACAGGAGAAAACCGACCAGTGGGCCAAACTGTGCACGAAACAGGTACTTACTTCTTATGCTGGAGATGGCTTGTTTTGTTGATCATGGTCGTTTCAATCTTCCTCTTCGTTATAGTACCGGCGAACCCCGACAAAAATTTTCAGTTACTACCTTTCTACCTCATGAGGTGAAGTTCAACTTTTTTCGAGTAAAAATGTCTGAAAGTAGCAGGCTGAAGTTTCATCTCAGCTGCTGAAATTGACATCGTATTCGTACTATGAGTATGAAATGCAAAAGCATCGTAATAGTAGAAATCGCATTACAAATTGTCTCAGCATTAGAAATGGAATTTGTAATGCGCATTTGCCTTATTAATAAAAAGATTTGTAATGCACGACTGCGATGAATAACCGTACACAAATAAAAATTTATCAGGTCGTGCAAGAGCTCGCTGACAAAGTGGGTTGCATGGACATGGAAGCGCACGCAAAGTTTCTGGAGCGGATATGACAGTGCACAACAACTCCCCCTCCCTCTCATTTGTGTTGCATGAACAGCAATACAAACGCCCACACATCATGTGGAGCCTGTGCATGACAAGTTCATGCACGTAGTGCGTACTTTTTACTGTAAGTATGGAGGCCGCTTCATCCGGAATCTGTCATGCAAACAGTACCACATGGCAGCGCTTGGATTTGGCATTTTGCATGACAAATGAGGGGGATGGAGAATTCTCCACTCTCATAGCGCAAACAGGAGTACGAGGAGGCGATCCAACAGGTGAAATCCATGGAGGAGAAGGTTAACAAATCCCTGGAAGAATTTCTTCGCGGCATCAACAAGTGCGACTACCTCTACTCCCAGTGCAACCAGAGCAACAACGAATTTCAGAAGGCCTGTTCCGATATCCTGTGCAAAAGTATCGTACTCGTATAAATGCAGGTCTTGCATTACAAATCTTGTTCCCAAGGCAAATCTGCATTACAAATTTTATTTCTCATACTGAGGAAATTTGTAATGCATTTATACGAGTACGATACTTTTGCAGTTCATATCCGAAGTCACAGAACAGCACAGAAACATGATCGACGATATCGTGTTCCCGAGGATTGAGAGGTATATGATATAAATTTCTCATGCAGGGACAAGCATAGCTCGACCTTTTTGTCATGCTCTTTTACTAAAGTGCTGCTAGTTGTTCATCATTCTGTCTCTGTGTCGGCACCGTTGACCACGTGTTTTAAAGGTAGAACAAGAATCTGTATCTGTGATAAGCAAATTGCAATACAAATTGGCCTAGCATCACAAAAGTAAATTTGTAATGCTGGTGATTTGCCTTAAGAAAGAAATTTGTAATGCATAAAATGCAAAACTCGTTCCCATCGCCATCGCTATCACGATCTGACACAGGTGCGAGGCGCTTTTGAACCAAGAGATGTGCGAGCGGGTGGACTGTCTGAAGAAGATTGCCCACGAGTTAGTCCATATGCACTGCAAAAGCATGGTACTAGTATAAATCGCATGACAAATAATTTCCTCAGGCTCAGCATGGGAACTAAAATTTGTAATGCGGGTTCAACTTAACGAAGAAATTTGTAATGCAGAAATGCGATAATTAGTACGAGTACGATACTTTTGCAATGCATAGTCCACTCCAAGGAGCAGAATGACCGGGTGAAGGACCAGGTCGAGAGGCTAGCGGTGGACTTGTCAACGAGCCAGGCCGCACGGATGGGTATGGACGCCGGATCGGCGATGATGTCCCCGGGCAATATGGGCGGGGGGAACAACATGCAGGGAACGACCAACGGGGCTTTGCTGGACAGAAGTAGTGCCAGGATCACGCAAGCGCAGGGACAGCAGGTACTAGAGTGAGCGAAGTTTTTTTACCATCACATATTAATGTTTGTAGTACGGCTAGTACGATGATCGACGTTCCCGTTTGTTGTTCGTGTATCAGCCTTGATTTTTTGCGTGTCACGACAAAACTTTTTTCGATATATATGCATATGGTGCATCAGAACTTCATCTCTTACTCTTTCTGTTCCATTCGGATCATTCATTTCTTCCCATTATCAAAACTCCAGTTCCTTACGCCCCGCCAATCTCCGATGTTGAGGCCATCCGTCGGCGCCGCTACCGCCGGCGCACAGATGGGCAGTGTCGTGATCGGAGGGAAGATTTACCCGCCGGGAACGAGAGTGGTGCAGCAGTAAGTAGGCAGAGGCATGCGTTGTGTACCGATCGGTAGGGTTTGAAGAGACTGAAAGTACTTGCTCTTGCCCCGTTTTGATGCATTGATGTATACCAGTTTGCTTTTGTTCAGTAGAAGGTCAAAGTATTCTTGTTTTTCAGATCTTACGTGGTCTCTTTGCATGTTGCTGTACACCAGTTTCTGTTTTTTGTGGTTGTATGATTCGTTTTGTGTTTCAAATTCAAATTAACCCAGTTCAAATTTCAGAAGTAACCAAGCCCAGAGGTCAGAGTCAGTTGAGATGATTTACGATTCACACAATTAAAAAATCTACCCCGAATGATGTCAGTTGAGCATGTTGTAAATCGATAGAAGTCAACATTCTTTGAGCAAAAAATATTCAAACGCTCTCATCGAGCACAGGTGAATGAGAAAGAAATAAGTATGTGGTTTTTCCGAAGTAGAAAGTATAGCCTTCTTCGAGCATTTTCCATCCCCTCTCTAGCATTGGCCGGAATCACGCACGCAATCAAAGCATTTTTATCGCTGTACATATGACACACACACGTGGGAAAATAGAAATTTCCATAGACCAATTGCCTCATGTCATTCAGAAAATGCTTGTAGAAGTTCTAACACGAAATAATATTTTGGTCTTTCCCCGAACCATGAGCAATGATGCCCATTAAACCCATGATCCGCACTACACATCAAGTTTGGAGCATAAGATCGCAACTACAATGATGAGACCATGACGCGTTGGTTGTGACATCACCACATTTATGTTCACAAGCCTTTCAGTTTCATCGATCTGAATTGTCGTAAAAGCAAAATATGGTACAGAAAAGCAAAAACTCAGAAGATCAAGATCCACTTTCACGAATTTTCATTTGATGAAAAAGATCATGCACCGGTTGAAATGTAGATGTAGATCACGACTATGTATAAGCGTCCATAGGATAGATACAGGTTCTCAAAAATCGAGATCCACGAAAAAATGTTGCGATCATTTTCTTCATTTGCTGCTGTAGATTTCTTGTGCCACGGGGCCTAATAAGCTCCTGAATTTGAATGCTTTTCGATCGTGATGTACCATGTCCATTATTTTTCTCTCCTAAGAAACACCAGGTGGCGCTGCGATAAGAACCGACGATAAAGGAAAATTTGCGCATAGAAATTTGCAGCTCCTGTTGCACGACTTCTGCAAAAGCCGACAAGTTGTCTAGAAAATTTCAATTTTCACATAATATAATTAGCGACATATTTATCTACCAGAAAGAAAAAACAACAACCATGGAGCAGATTCTCTGCACAGTCCGCAACCCGGCGGACGGGTCGCACATCATCCAAGCCCTCGACGTTTTGTCCACTCCGGGCAACTATGCATTGCAAATATGTCTGGGTCTGGAAAGGTGGAACTTGTGATGCTGTCTTTGGATTCTACCAAAATCTGTATTGCATGACCAGCAACAGGGCCCCAGTTTGTGATACGCGGGGGGAGCATTTCTCATGCGGGATAGGCATGATCACGAAGCCCTGTAAAAATCTGCGATGCAAGGTCATGCATTACAGGCAATCATGGGTCATGCAAAATATGCATGACAAACCTGGCAATCTTCCAGACCCAGACATATTTGCAGTTGATAGCAACTCCATCGTGCTCCAGCAGTTCGCAGAATGCCCGAAACAAGCGGCCTCGACCGCCGGCACCTTCCAGCAGATTTCCTCCACGAAAGCCTATCAAATGCAAAAATGTCTGGGTCTTGAAGAACGCATGTCTGTCATGCTTGTCTGACATGAGTCTTAAATCTGTAATGCACGCTATCCAAGAGCCCTGTTTTTCTGTGATGCAGAAACGCAGTTTGTCATGCAGAATAGGCAACACCTAGAGTAGAAGCTCAGAAACTTGTCATGCTAAGCCAGCATTTGTGGCCTCATCATGAGACGCCACCCAGCATCACAAGTTTCCAGACCCAGACATTTTTACATTTGATAAAGCCATCCCCTTTGCGGTTTCAAACCACGGACGCTACCTGGCCTGCACGTTGTATCCAGATAAAGCGATACTTTTGGTGTGGAAAATTTTGCCCAAGCCAGGGCAACAAGCTACCGGCAATGCAGCTGGAGCAACTACCAGTACTACGAGCAAGAAAGTCAACACCTCCTCTACCGGCCTCTCCTCGAGACTGTCCACCCCCCACTACCGGGCGTCGTATCAACTGCAAAAATGTCTGGGTCTGAAAGAGTGCCAAACTTGTCATGCAGGTTTTCCATGACCCATGAGGTCTGGTATGTAGGACATAGCATGAAAAATTCTGTTAGAGTTCTATCATGCGTATTCTGCATGAGAAACTGCCTCTCGATTAGGTCAAAAGTGAGCAGCTTTTGGTAATCATGCAACACAGGGGTTAATCTGGATGCCAGACCGATGGACCGAATAGGGGAGGACATGGGTATAGGGCGGCTATCAGGGCTCCAGGGCGAGGAGCTCAACACCTCGCGGAAGAAGATCGCAAAGGCACATAATACACTCTCGAGGGGGCTTCTACGGAAGTCGCAGGGGAATCTTGTCACCGCAACAGACGGGCTGGTAGACAAAGATAGAAATCTAGGTGTAGGCGCAGGGGCAAGCTGGTGGTGGGAGCCGGTAGGGGACGACGGCACAGGGAGACTAACTACGGAAGCAGGGGAGGACGCTATGCCGGAGCCAGCATGGATTTCGGGCTCCTATGTTTGCTCTCCCATCGAGGACGTTCATACGGACTCCTTTGATGCGGAGTGTGTAGGGCTAATACAACAGCTAAAAGAGATAGAGCACCAAATAAAGACCAGCCCACACTTGAAGCATATGCTGCGGCATTTTTACTTTTTTCTAGACAGCAACTCCATAGTGCAGGCTTTGGAGTGCTACTGTGACAGCAGCAGTGAGATGGTCCATAGTATTATGAAGCACATGGAAATGATAGAAACTGCATGCATAGGAAGGAAACCGAACGAGGAGGAAGAAGCTTGGTTTCACTTCCGCTGGACCCCGGGGCATTGTGGCCAACAGGCGAATGATTGCGCTGACCACTTGACGAACATCTACAAGCAGATGTGGAAAGATGGGGACCAAGACTACAGCGAGAACGCAGCGCGACCCATTTACACTAAACTGATCACAGCGCCTATTTTGCGGCGCTTGCTGTTGCGAAGGGTGCTGGATAAAAGCGTAGCGCAGGCCGACTCGGTCTCCGCCTACTTACGTGATCGCGCGAAGGAGCTCGGGAGCTTCCGCCCCCCGGTCGGGGTTTTTCCGAACCGGGAGGCAGAGCTGCTGCACTTCTGGATCTGGCTGGGCATCGCACCCCAGCCACATCTCGGCTGCGATGAGATTCAATACGAAAATGGAAAAATGAAACAAAAATGCAAAAAGTGCGGGGCTTGGTCCCATTGTGGTGTGGACCATGCTCTTTTCGAATGTGAAAAAATTGAAAAACCGCGAGTGCGTCACCTGGGCTTTTCTAAATGCGCCCCGACCCTGGGGCGTGAGCTGCTCAGGTGCCCGCAGAAAATTATGCGTCTGGTCGTGGATGCGGAAGCAGAGCTAACGCATGAGTTCTTCCGTGAGAAAGTGGGGGGCTGTGTTGAAAAAATAGGAATTTCAATGGAAAGAATTCCAAAGCAGCATGCTAAGATGGAAAATGTGTACAAGAAAGCGAATGACTTGACTAGTATGAAAGTATTCACCAAGCTAATGCCACTAAAATACCTGGGCTAAAAGATAACGACGATGCCTTGAATCAAAAACAACCAATTCTCACAGGAAATAGCACACACAAAAACCTCTGACCTTGTATAGACTGCACCTGTAAACGACAAGAACGTCAGCACTGCAAGCACGGCGACACTGAGGAAGGGCAAGGCGAATAATGAAAAATACCAGGTATATTGACTATCAGCACGGATGTGAGTTGCTTGGTAGGATATCAGATGAGATGCTAAGTGTCCTAGTAGGTATTCTAATATGAAAATGCATATCGAATCATAGTACATATTATTTTCTAATGTAAACTCTTATAAATTCAAAAAACAACAAACCACCAGGTCCCTGCAGCGGAGCCCGCTCGTCACGTAAATCAAGGGAACCCCATTCAATGCCAGACCTCGGTGGAGCTGTGGCTCATCGCTGAGAAATTAGTTTAGAATTGTACCAAACAGCGCTTAAAGTAACCTTGTACTTAATGAGCTGCTTTTCCACCTTGTCCCCTGGATACAAAAAGACAGCGACCTGGTATTTATATAATGACCGCTTCCTCAGCTTCATCGCTTTCGTGCTAATACAAAGATCGTTCGTGGTGCTGAGCAGTCGTTGATTCGTTTCGCGTAGAATTCAACTAGCCAGCAGGCTAGATGTTGTTCGCTCACATCGGTATTTTCGCGTTTGTCCTTAAAATTTTATAAAAACACAAAAACAACTGCAGGGACAGGATGAGAAAGTGGGAGAATGAAGGAGATAGTGTAGAATGGTTTCGATGCTGGATTATAGTCGGATAAGTTCGCTTTTTGTAGGATTTTCGAAGAAAGTAATGTAGTTCTGGTCTTTTACGCACTACAGAAGCACTATGGAGCTCCTCTATAGTGCTTTAATTTTATCATCTTGCAGGAGTCACATACTAGGTGAAGGCAGTTTTAGCCACCAGCCCGGTTGATATCTGACTAATTGTATGTTACCACTGTAAAGTAGTACTATTCAATTTGTAATGCTGTTTGCGTTTAGATTATGGTTATTCAACTTGTTCTACCTTTGTTTGAATGCACATGAGGAATAAAAATAAAGTTGAGAAAGATGGACTTGATGTGCGCGCTGCTGCGTGAACTACTGTCATGGTGGCAGTTGTCATCTTCTTTGCTTCGTCGTGAACTGGTATCAGCGGCGGAGGACTGGTTAGGAAGCAAGTAGGGATTGCAACGACGGGTGAGGAGGAAAACGCGAAGACGGAAGCGGAGGAAAGACGGAATTGAGGATGAGGATGCGGGGAGCTGCTGGATTTATCAAAAAAGGTAGGGCCTAAGGCCACGGGAACGCCGAGTACACCCGCGCACTTCTTCGTGAATCGCCCCCCGCTTTTTGCGTGTTGAACAGAGGCCGAAAGCAAAAGAAAAATCAAAAGAAAAATCAAAAGAAAAATCAAAAGAAAAATCAACAGAAAAATCAAAAGGAAAATCAAAAGAAAAATCAAAAGAAAAATCAAAAGAAAATCAAAAGAAAAATCAAGAAAAATCAAAAGAAAAATCAAGAAAAAATACGAAGCCCCTCGGCAATCGGCACGCGAGAAGTTTTGCAAAAAAAAAAAAAAAATCATGCAGCACAGATTTTTACATGATTCAGATTTAGCATGACAAGTTGCTTTGTTCCAGACCCAGACACTTTTGCATTTGATACTTCGCTTCCCGAGAAAATTTCCTGCATGGAATTTTCCTCCTGTTCCCATTACCTGTTATGCACTGCAAGAGTATCGCACTCGTAGTAATTGCGTTTTCTGCATCACAAATCTGGTTTCCTAGGGGATTCACCATGACAAATTCCGTTTGTCATGCTGACAAAGTTTGTAATGCAAACACCACTAGGTAGTGCGATGCTTTTGCAATGCATACCTCTTCTGCGGCAGCGAGTCGGGGAAAATTTACGTGTGGCACCTGCCGACGGGGGAGCTGGTGAACTGCCTAGGGGGGAACGTCAGCGACACGGCGCATTATCAAACGGTGTGCAGTCTGAAAATTTCAGCGGACGACGCGTTGCTGGTTTCCGGGGCGAAAGACGGATCCGTGGCGGTTTGGAAAAATCTGTACGGGCAGGCGGGTGCGAGTGGGACGAATAAAAACACCGGGTTTATTAGTAACAACACGAGCGGAAATCTGTTCCGGAAGTGGACCGGACACACGCTAGCGGTGACGCAGGTAGAGAACAAAATTAGATATTCACACCACATTGAATCCGGTTACTGCATGCTTGTTGTGCATGGTCGTTGCAATAGAAACTGAGCGCTTCTATACTGTACTGCATGAGAAACTCGTCACACATTACACGAAAAAATCAGGTTGCCTTCACAGAAGATTCCACCTCTATCATTTCCGCCTCTCTCGACCACTCCCTCCGTCTCTGCGACATCATCTCCGGAAGAGAAGTGAAATCGATCCAAACCGGGTTTGCGGTCCGCGCGTTCGCGGTCGGAAACTTGGGCCAGGTCTACGTCGGGGGGTCTTTGGGCTCGTTGAAAACGTTCGATCTATTCGGCGACCGGGTGGAAGGGGATGACTTTCTGGGACATCATCAAAGCCGGTTGAAACAAGGTAAGGACAGTACGATGATAATGGTTCAACATCCACACAGTTTCAGTTGTCGTGTTTGTCTGTTGACACACAGCAACTATCGCGGCAACACTGGTGGTTTCTGATTTCGAAAAATTGAAGCTCAAGCTCTTGCATGACAAACTAATACCACATCGAAAAATTATAAATAGGTCTTGCCAGCACGCCCTTTGCCGTCCAGACAAGCCAGCACAACTTCTCCGACGACAAAAACGCTTTAGGAGCTCCTACTGCTGTATCCCCTCCAATCACCGAGTTGCAGCTGTCGCACGACAGATTGTTCTTACTGGTGTCGAATTCTTGTGATTTGAAGGTTTACGACACGAGAAACGGGCAGAACGTTAACACGGTCAAAAACGTAAACGCGTTGATTTCCACCGTCATCGACACGAGTGCGATGCCTGGAGGCAGGAAAAAGCGAGGTACAAACAACTGCACATCAAGTTCTACTTCAGCATCCAACATAACTCACGACATCCACTGGCAACCGTTGCAACGTGCGGTGATGTCGAGTGCGACGAGAAATTCAAATTCTGCTTTTGGGAGACAAGCCGCGGCTTCTTTGGCACGAAAAATGGAGGAAGAGTTGCACTTGCAGAAGGACAATTTGCGGTTTTCCTGTTTTACAAAAACAACTGGGACAACGACGACGAACAAGCGGGGTCGAGACGATATTCATACCCTTTCGACGTCAACTCTGGTGAACCTACCCAGCTCCGAATTCTCTACTACCTCAAGGCAGCGACTCGCCACCGAGATTGCGAGAAGGTTGATTTCCAAGGACGTTTTTAAGGAGAATGAAGAAACTAGTGCTGGAAATAAATCTGTAGCCGAGGAGGAAAAGAACCAGGCGCAAAAGAAAGAACAGGGGGCTCCTGCAGGTGGTAGTAATAAAGACAAAGCAACTTCTGCAAATCAGCAAGTACTAGCGAACAGTACGAAAGCAGCGTCGAAAGCGGCTTCTAGTGCTGATGCTTCGAGAACAAGTATGAAGATCAGGTTCCTGCCGCCGGATTGCTTCTCTGTACTCCGTAGTATTGGCGGGGGGACAACTGCTGCTCCTTCGCGAGGACTGGCCAGTCGTGTTGGAGGTGTCACAACCTGTTCCAAGAATTATAGCGGTCTATCTCCCTCTTCTTCCCTCCGTGACGAGCTGTTAAAGTACCACAACACGCCGTCCATTCGGAATTTGGATTTAACAGAATTAATTCCAGCGACATCTTCATCCTCCACCGCAAAAATTATAGCCTCTGCATCATCATCCTCAACAAAATCTACAGTGTCAAAAGAGTCATCCAGTCACGAAGCCGCCGAAGAGGACCGGCAGTTCGAGCTGGACTTCCTCCGACAGAAACTCATCAACACGCAGAAAACTTCCACGCGGTGGCGCAAACTCGCGAACAAATTTTACTCGGAGGTGTTGCCGAAAATGAATTACATCAAGGAAAAAGATTTGGAGGAAAAGGAGAAGCAAAAACAGCGAGAAAAGATGCGGTCGGATACGAAACTGCCGAGTTTGATGATGTCAACTTCAACATCTGCACATCAAGTAGAACATCAGAATAAGTCTATGTCGTCGAAGAACAACAGCACCAGTATGGGGCTGAACCCGAACTGCAGTGCGTTTAGCGATCAGGAACAACAAGCGGTGGATGACGATGTGGAGATGGAAGATGAAGAGGAATATGGGAAAAGGCAAGCTGGCAATGGCAATGAAGCCGCGACGAAGAGCAAGTTGCTCGGGGGTGCTTGAAGGAATGATCCGGATGAAAAGGAAACCTTGTGAAGGACACTGTCACTGACGCAGCTATGGACAGGGATGTTATTTGTAGAAGTACTACCACGCAGACGCATGGAGGTCATCGAAAATGAAATGAAAATTTTAGGACAACTCACTTTACGCATTGCGCGACTTTTGTGTAGATGCGTTGCTGGCCTGTTTAGTGTTTTTTTTTCTCGCCTTGTGTTCTGCTTCTTCAAACTTTCGACCTATTTGTTCGTGGCAACTGGTGCATTGGCATTGTTGGGGGAACAATCCTTTTTGTTGTTCAGTCGCTAGGAAAATCGAGGGGCAGATGAAGTTCTGGGGCTGCAGCATTTCGGATTATTGGTTTCGAGCTCGATAGTTGTACCATAAAAATTCGTGATAGATCTCCAACACTCCAACACCCATCAAGATTTCGCTCACTTCCATTCGCAATCGTTGTCGGTCTACTTGTGGCTTTCCATAGATTTAAAGTTGTTTCGAACAAAGTTGTGAAGAACTGAATTAAACGCCGCAAAGGCACAGAGCCGAAGGGAATATCATCCGAGAGAAAGTCGGACGAAAGCTTTTGAAAACAAATTTCACTCTAGTAGTTGTCGGACTTTCCACGAAGAACTAGTTCTTGGCCGCTGTAGTTGAGAATAAACATATCTCAAGTCTAGCCCAAAAAAATGCGCCGTTTCCTTCATCATTTTCGCAGTAAGGCGAACCAAGGTGCAGCTGCCGCGGGACCCTCGACATCATCCTCACACCAGCCGCTGCGGTTGCGAAAGCCGGAGGAGTTGACGACCCTTCTGCAGCAGAAGGTGGCTGAGGCAGCAGGAGGACGATCAGGAGAGCAGACTGCGACTGGTCCAAGTACAATTGGTGGCCCTAATACAACTAGCAGATCTTCACTATCACTGTCCTCTTCTTCGTCGAGGCCGGTGCATCATCAACCCGCGCTTTTCAAACACAACTTCTTCATCCGAACTGTGTCAAAAAATGCTCCTAATGAGCAACTACAAGGGATATCATGTGGTGCATCCTCACCACTAACAACGCGGAATTTCTCCTCTTCTTCGTCCACTACCAAGAAGAACGGGAACAAAAACCCAAACCCCAACGACCAAAAATCCTTGAAGCAGAAATTCCCGCGCGAGTGGGCGGTTTTTTCCACCATAGACTCGAACAGCAAGGGGTATTTGCTGAAACAGGATTTGATCACCACCTGCGAGCAGATTGAAGTCCCCGAAATGGCGGACTTTCTCTTTGAACTACTAGACCGGAACAACGATGGGGTGATCGATTTCGCGGAAGTGGTTGCGAACTACAAGGCGCTGACCATGGTCCGTAACGCCGCAAGATTCCGTTCCTGGAAAAGAACGTTCGGCTTAGGCGTCGCGGGAAACGTAGCCGGGCACATGGACCAAGCGGGGGAGGGTGTAGAAGCCGCGATAGTAGAAGACCACGCAACAAGTTCTGATGCAACTACGAGCAACGACAAGCCTAACCTTCCCCCCGCGGTCTTCGCTTTTTACGTCCCACCACTCGGAAATACTACGCCCGAAAAAGTGGAGATCCCGAAGGAGTTTAGTTTCGTGAGGCGGAAAACCCCGGACGTCGAGCAGGGTGAAAAGGAAACGCTGCAGCAGAAAATCAAACGGTTGCAGCGGTTCCCCATCTCCAATGCGGTGATTCATCATCCAAGCATATCCTATGTAAAAATGCCCCCAGCACCCCATAGTCAAGATGGGAACTTTGCAACACAAAGCCTGAAGCTTTGGGAGTCACGCATGACAAGCTGCTTCATCTCTGGGAGTGTAGTAGTGCCTGTTAGCAAGGACAGCCGCATCACGAATCCATCTGCTTATCCTGTTCACAGCATTACAAATTGCGAAATACCGCTGTAGAAACGACTCTCATGGTGAGATGCGCATTACAAACGTTGCTGCATTTGCAAATCCGCATGACAACTATGGGTTGGGATTGTTTTTACTCAGGATAAAGCAGCCTAGGCGGTGCCAGTGACGAAGAAGACCACCCGGATGCGGACACCGTTGCGGGGTCCAAGTTCCAACGAGTGCAAGTGGAGCCAGAGATATCCAAGAAAAAAACGTTGTTAGGGTGAATTTGTGATGCGCAACATGCAAGATGATTGCGCCTGTCATGCTTGACATGCATCATAGGGTCCATTAAAGGGCGTTTTGGTTTTCGCGTACTATCTGCGCATGACAGGTTTTTGCTGTCATACCAGACAAATTTGTAATACTGTTCCTCCAAAAAAGTTACACCTACAATGTTTTTTTCTTGGATAAGAGATCGCTTTGTTTTGCGAAGTGAAATACAAAGCGCAGGACGCCCTGTCGTTCGGGTCCGCGAAATTCGTCACGGAACTATTGCCGAAAAAGATCGCCGCCTTCAACGACTTATCGACTGCAAAAGTGTCGTACTCGTACGATTTTTCTGTCATGGCAATCCTGCGTGACAGATGTATCTGGATACGCTAATCAGCATGGCAAATTCCATTTTTCATGCTGGGCAAATGCAATTTTCACTAGTATGATTATGATGCTTTTGCAATGCATACGACTGCTCCGTGCGGGAATTGGAGGGGTCTGTGAAACTGTCGGAGAAGAAGAACTGGGGTATCGACAGGATAAATCCCCCCTCCCCATATCAAAACGGAACTTCTGATGCTGCATTTGTGTACACAAATCAGACCTGTCTTGCAGTAGAGGACTGCAGGCATACACCAAGCCTCAGTAGAGAAGTTTTGACATAGGCGCCTTAGGCGCCTAGGTCAAAACTTCCAGGCCTCTAGGCGCCGCCTAGAAGCATGAGAAACGCCTACGCCGTAGGCCCAGCAGCATCACAAACCGCCTCCGCAAAAATGCGGCGGACTCCAAGGAGTTGCCCCTTTGCAAGACAGGCCCGATTTGTGACCACAAATCAGCAACGCAAATTTTTGGAAACACACCTTTGCAATATGGGGAGGGGGGATTTTTCCTTTTGATATGGGGCAGGGCGAGCAAGGGGATTTCACTAGAATCCTTCAAAATCGACTCCCTGAACCCGGGCACTTTGGCGGATCGGCTCTGGATCGGGTCCTGGTTGCTGCGAGATGGCGTTTTACACGAGTACACCTTGAAAGCACCGGCCAGAAACTACTTGCTGTATCACCAGCCGTTGCTGGATTGGATCATCGACCGGTGCAATTTCCAATCTGCGACGGACAAGTGGGAAGATGTGAACGAGCTACTCCAATGCGCGGGGTACCCGACAAAGATGTGGATCGCTTTGGGAGCCGGGAAGTACACGGAGTGGGGGGAAAAGAATTTCATCGACTTGTACGACGAAACAGTGGTGATAATCTGGGATGAGGAGGTGTTTGGGGCTGTGGGGCCGAGCGAGGACATAATTCGGAAAACCATCATTAACGATGAAAACAGTCCGGACGGGTTGGTGGCGCTGCACCAAACCTTTGTATGATAGTAGGTACAACCACGAGAACAAGCGTTGTAGTTACAAGTACACAATGCGAGTATGTATGGTGTAGTTTCAGGTAAACTTCAGTTCACATTCCAGTCGGACTGCGGGAGCCGAAAACGAAATGTACCACACTGCGTTCGCGTTGCGTTCAATTTGAGAACTTTTTGAAAATGAAAATTTCAATTGGTGCTGCCGTGTATCACAGATACTACACTAGGCGCGGCGCGTCAGCGCGACGATGATCCGCCTGGAGATGGTTTTTTGTTGTTCGACGTCCTTGCTGCTAAATTCAGTCGGTGAAAGACTTCCTAATAGAAGAGAATACAAATGGTTGTGGAGTAAGTAGCATTGGTAGTACTATCGGTTTCGTGCAAAATACGCCTCCTGAAATTGCTTCGCTTTTCATCTTCGGTAGAAAGCAAGCAACGAATCAAGAATCGGTCGTGCAACTTCTCGTTTTTTCATACATCACACTTCTTTGTTCAGTGAAAATAAGCTTATCGTGCAGCCACTTCTCGTGCTTCGAGGACTTCCAACTTTGGAATATCTCCTGTTGATCTGCTTCATCGTTTTTCTTGTACAGGACCTAATAAATTGTTCGTACCCAACATAAACACTTCCTCCAACTACAAGAACAAATTTTACCAAAATCGAACTGTACACTACAGGAAAGTTGTTTGATCCATTCATCACAACAAATTGCCCACAATGTGGCGCGCCACTACTTCCAGTACGTTCGGTCGGCAAATCCGTCAAGGTTTTGCCAATGCCAGGACATCAAGAGGCTCGTATCAGTACCAGCGTCGTACCTTCGTCGACAGCAGCACTGCTTCCTCGTCGTCTTACACCAGAACAGCCTCATCTTCAAGCTCCACCTTCGGCGCAGAACAAACCTTCAACGCAGGATCTTCAGCCGGAGGAGCGGAAAATGCAGGTGGTTACGAGCAACAGTACAATCAAGACGGCGGTAGTAGCAGTGGTAGCCAAAATAACACTTTCTTCGACTACATCTCCCAAACCTACGTTCCTGCGGCGGCAACTGCCTCTACTGGAGACACGACGACCAAAAGACAAAAATCCCCCCAACCTTTTTCCCGGGAGGCCACGAAGAGACAGGTGCAGCAGGACACGAATAAGTCGAAGGAAGAATACGACAACCTCCTCGGCGGACCGACGCCCTCGCAAAGGTTCAAGGGTGGAACAACGGGTGAACAAAACAACAAACCATCTAAATCAACAAGCTACCTGGGAAGTAGAACAGCCTCTGCTGCTTCTACAACAACTTCTACTCCTGCACCGGTTTCCTACTTTTCCAACACAACGCATACTAGTTTTTCCATGAAGAACAATGTCGATTCCACCGCGAATGACTTGCTGAGAGACAAAACTTCGTCCCTGTTAAGAGCAAACAACAAGGAATTTTCTGTCCTCGGCACGGATTCGCGGTTTCTGAAGCAGAAATACCCGCGGGAATTCGCGATTTTCACCTCGATCGATCGGGACAACGACGGGATTATTACGGAAGAAGATTTGGAGGAATGCCTCCACCACTACGGCGTCGCGGAGATGACGCACGAGCTGTTCCGGTTGATGACGGGCTCCTACCCAGAGTCCGCAGCGGATTTGGATAATGACCTGCAAACGGAAAATAGTGATGCAGGAACATCAAATAAACCCCCAATCGGCATCAATTTCGCCCAATTTTACGCTCATCTCGAAACTTTCCGGGTCCTCCGGATGACAGCAAGGTTGAGAATGTGGAAAGACTGCATTGGCTTAGGAGTGGCGGGCAACGTCGCGGGCCACATGGACCAGGCGGGGGAAGTGTCGAAAAACGAAGCGGTGTTTCACAATCCGAAAACCCCCACTGCTCTTTTCGCCTTCTACGTGCCGAACGCGCAGAAGATTCTGTCGGAAAACAAGCACCACAGTTCGAAAAAACCGTTGACAGAGTCTCTGCGGAAGGAGTTGCAGCGGCTGAAACGGTTCCCGGTCACGAATAAGGTGATCGATTACCCGAGTAATCTGTTGGAAGAATTGGAAGCAGAGCAACAGAAAAATCATGACAGCTTTTCCGGCTTTGGGGTATCATCAACTACGGCAACATCAGGTGCTGGTCAGAACTACAGTGTGCACCACATCAATCAAGAGAACAAAAACTGGGATTTGTTGAAAGTGCAAGTCGAGCCCGAAGTGGCGTTGTTAGCGAAGATCGAGTATGACCACTCCATGGACCCGGAATTGCTAAAGGAGGGGAAAAGGAAAAAGGTCAAACGGTTAATCCCGATGAAGGTCGCCGCCTTCAACGACTGCTCCTTACGTTCGGAAATCGGGGGTGGCATGTTCAAATTTGCGGGAAAATTATCGGAAAAGAAAAACTGGGGGTTCGGGAGTAAAGGGATTTCTTTTCAGGCCTTTCCGGTTGACAAATTCAGTAAGGAAATCGCGAAGCCTATAATTGCAGGAGCTGTCGGGACTGCGAAGACCTCCACGATGAAGCAGCAAGATGAACAAGGTGTGAGCATGGGACCGCAGTACGACCACGGGAGGGAAGAGAAAGACAACTTCGCCCGGGCTTCGATCGGCAAAGCGGTGTCGGATGAGCACAAGATTCGGTCGACAAACCCGGAGGATAAAATGCCCAGTTTGGTCAGCAAATTGTGGATCACGAGTTACGTGCGGAGGAACAACGAAATCTTCGGCTACACCGTGCCGGCGTCGATCAACTCGTATTTGCTTTTCTACGAAGACTTGCTCCAGTGGATCGTCACGCAGATGAACCACCAGGGACGTTACGACAAGTGGGAAGACATTTCGGAGCTACTCGACGTCGCCAATTACCCACGGTACTGCTGGATCGCGCTGGGCGCCGGGCAGTACACCGACTGGGGGCAGAAACACTTCTTACATCCGGGGGATGAGGCGGTGGTGATTTTGTACCGAAACGACAGGTACCCGGAGGAGGGCGGGCCGAGCATGGAAATCATCCGGAACATCTTTGACGAAAGGGGGAAGGTGCCCGAGGGAATTTCGTCGCTGCACCAGATTTTCGTTGACTCGCAAAACGTGAAGGGGAACGCGTTTTGATGAGAAAAGATTTATTCTCAGAGGTTGTTCTTCAGGTGTAGTACTGCACAGAACGACGTTGGAGCTCGTTGCAGTGCAGTCATGCACCATTTTAGCAGTAGCACTACTAGTGCCTGTGTTTGATTGATGTAGTTTAGTTTCGTAGTTCTTTCTCAGCTGCTCGTGTTGGATACAAATTCTGTTTCTGGCCGAGTGAAGGTCTTCGTGTTGTAAATTAGGCTTTAATAGCTTTTCCTTTTGCTTTTTGTTTCGATTTCCCATTCCGAGAACATGTATGAGTATGAATCTATCTTGACTTTTCCACAGTGGCATTGCATCGCAAAGGAACAAGATGTTTTTTCATGCTGGTCCCTCTGCACGAACAAGAAAAATCGCAGGCTGGTGTTTGAATGAGACGCGCCGTGATGAGGATTTTTACTTAATACTGCTCTCATCAAGAGAAGCCGAATCTCAGCTGCAGCTTGCTGCTTGTCTTCTGGCCTTCAGTCTCGTGTTCACGGAGAATTTATTTCGCTCCAGATCGATGATGAAAAGAGTCAT